AGGGGTCTAAACAGACCCCTGATATTTCCCTTTTAAAATAGAAAAAGAGATTGAGAACACAAAGTCCTCAATCTCTTTTTCTGTGTCCCCTGTTATCAATGAACAGGAATCCTCTATGAGTGTTCCTGTTCATTCATAACATGAGAACATTGTTTGTTTACTATAACCACAATTATTGATGAATGGGGGTGATATAGATCACTTCTCATTCATAATTGAGGATATAGTTAACATGCCATATCCTCAATTATGTACACACACTCAGCGATCACTGATCGCTGAGTGTGTGTACCTTGCTTTTCTCTCTGACACGCTGTCACAGGAGGCTGAGCGAGCGGTGTGGGAGTAGAGACGCCTGCCGCTCACAGCGCTCTCGTCCTGCAGCGCTCGGCCGGCTGTCACTTTCTTTTCTCCCCGCTGGAACACAGAGCAGCTCCCAGCGGGGAGAAAAGAAACCAGGGATGCACTGATGTATTGGCCGAAACATGGCTCTTTCGGCATTATGCCAAAAGTGCCATTTTCGGCCGATACAGCGGCGCATCCCTGCTTTCTTTCCTCCCCACTGGGCGCTGCTCTGTGCCCCAGCGGGGTGGAGAGAAAGTGTGACAGCCGGCCGAGCGTTGCCGTAGGAGTGCCCTGTGTTTGAGGGTTTTTTTTGGGGGGGGGGAGGGGGCCCAAAAGAAAATCTTGCACCAGGGCCCTTTGTTCCTTAGGTCCGCCACTGAATAGCATTGATATTTCATCAATGAATGCCTCAATACTGAGACATTCATTAATGACTGGTAACCGCTGAGAATCAGCGGTTACCGGCTTTACAGAGCCTTAAATAACTCGTCACGTACAGTGTACGTGGCCAGTCATATAGGCACTTTGTGGCAGGGCATACGGTGTATGTCTCTCATCACGGAGGGTTTAATATTTGAAAGTTAATGTTAGCAGGCCTTGTCTGGGTTAGTTTTTCCCCCCTCTAATTTGGAGAAAAATACATGAAGTGCATATAACCTTGTATTATGCAGATTTGCTATTCATTTTTCCTTCTGCCTGGAGTTCTCCTTTTAATGATACAGGTATGGCATCCACTATCTGTAACCTGTTATCCACAGGGAAAAATAGCTGATTGGTGAGAGGATCATGTACATTTGATTTTTTTTCTTTCCTGCAGTGACCCCCTTCCCTAAATAAAACATTTATGGGCACTTTGAAAAATCTGCATTTCATTTTGTAACTCGGCTGAATTTAAAATATAAAAACAATAATGTAATCTGCTCTTTGGAAAATTGTATGTCCCAGTCTCTCCAGATAGTAGATGTCATACATATAGCTATTCGTTTAATTTAATGATTGGCAAATATAGCCATATAAAAGGGTATGTGTTTATTTCATTGCGTGTACCCAATACAGGTTGTGATAAACTGTATCGACAATACAAATGGCACTCCAACTGCAGAACTGAGTAAGTATTGAAGGATAGGACAGCATAGGAGTTAACAGGTAAAAAAACTGGATGTCTGCATAATTGAAAGGAATAGAAAAAATTAGATTTTCGGACCATGTACATTTTCTGTACAAGAATTTTTTGTTCATTAATTTTCAGCCATGCACATAGAGACTGGTGCGTCAAGCACCATAGTAAAGGTGACGAGGTCTGGTAATTTCCAATGTCACACTGACACTCATCGAACAAGCTGAGCTGCTTTTATAAGGAATTGGGTTACTAAGACCTCGCTATGTCATTTTTCTCTGACTGTAATAAGCAGCCTGGAATTTCACACTAGTTATGAATGTTCCAAAAAAGATGTGGAATGCCGTAAGCAACATATTTGTGTGTGGGTTTTTTTTTCACACACTGGTCCAAGCGTCATTTTCTATAGATTGTAATGGCCGTTGCAATACATTAATGCAGGTTTTTTGTTTCTGAAGCTGGGAAGGCTGCAAGCATGACAGCGACATCTGTAAGGCAACTCCTGCCTTGACAGAGGAAGCCCTAATAACCTCATCCCGTAAACATAGCAAATGGATATATAAGACAAAAAATGGGGTCTTTGAGGTAACCCGTGAACGGAAGACTGATTAAATCTAAAACGTTAACATTTTATTATATCTACAGATTAAAAATATAAAATAATAAACACAAAATACATAGTGCATTCATGACGTGAATCAACTTATAATGAACCAACAGTGAACGCACAAACGCGTTAACAATTTGTGAAGAAGATTTAGTCCTATATTCAGATCTCCTTTAGGTATATAGAAGTTGGTCAATAGACGTGCGATGTTGGATTGGTGTTCCCAACGCTAATAATAGCTTCCTCAGGGGAATGCACTAATGCTCAGAAATCATAAGATATCGGGGTGCACCATCACCTAATACAGGAGCGGAGACCCCTGGAGGGAAAAAGTCATAAATCCTGTAACACTCCTTACCGGAAATCCCCCAAAAAGAGTAAATAGGTGCTGCTTGAAATGACAGCGGATGGCGCCGCACACAAAACAGCTTAGAATGTAGATGTCACCAGCACGACAGAAGCTCATAAGTCAGTGCAAATCGTCTACTCTGAGCCTGATGAAGGGGACCCTGTGCGGCCCCGAAAGCGCTTGTTATTCTGAGTGACATCTATCAATAAATGGATTTGCACTGACTTATGAGCTTCTGGTGTGCTGGTGACATCTACATTCTAAGCCCAGGAGGAAAAACACACAGACCACTCCAATATTTGCCACAAGAGTCCACACAGCGTCCCTCCCATATAACGGCGATCCCTGCCATATGGGAGGGAGACTGTTTTGGACTCTTGCGACAGATATTGGAGTCTGCCCTCACTCCCAGACAAGTGCCTGCACAGAGAAGGAAGTCTGTTCTCAGTGGACGCCCCATCCCCCTGCTCCCTTCTGTTCAAGTAGGCTACTATTGCAGGGAGGAGAGAGCAGAATCTTCCCTCTAACCCCTGCTCCGCGCTGTGTTCTCTAGCCGCTTGAATGGAAGAAGTGACAGCAGGATCACTGGCGAATGGAGTGCCGCTAAGCTCCCAGTATACCCTCTACATAAATGGGATGTATAGTGCATTTAATACTTTCTTTTAGCTTTTAGGAGGCAGGCAAATCAATCTTATTTTTTTAAGACAGTACCACCAAAACAAAGCATTTTACTACTTCTCATGCTGCAAGAGTTATTCCATTATCTGGACAAATAATATTCTCATGTATTAGTCTATCAATGACAGTAATTCCAAGTCACATTGTTACTCAGCTGGTATGTTATTTATTTTTTTGCAGGAGCAACACAGAAAATGAACCTTTTCCAGTCTGTGCAAAGTGCAATGGACAATACCCTATCTAGAGACCCAACAGCAGGTAAATTGTTTTTCACATGTGCAACATATCATCTGCTAATAAACTTAGTTTTATGTGTCCTTAAAGTGTAAAAACAATCCTGACCTAGAGAATTTAGCACCCTAGAAAAAGTGAAGAGTGACCTACTCTGTGCTTGTATGGCTACATATGGAGTGTAGCTTATTATATTCCAGTTACCAAAGCACTTTTAAGAGACTGCTTGGAAATATATTGACTTTTATAACACTGTTCACTGCACTTCACACCAGGTTTTAAACATGCTCACCTTGCCAATCATTTGATGATCGCTGCCACTTGCTTGCTATGTAGATGGATTGCTTATTGAATACCACCTACTACGCAACAGCGAACAAAAAGTTGAAATTGTAGGTTTGTCACACATAACTTCTAAGATGGATGTCATCTGGGAAAAATCTTTCCTTCTGTTTTTTTATATGAGTTGCACTACTATAAGTTAGAAGATTACATCTGGGTGTGACCATTTGAATCAATGGTTCTCAAAGTGTGGGGCATGCTATGACACTGCAGGTGTCTTGCCTCAGGCAGCACAAGGGGTAATATTTGTTGCTGTGGAAAGTAATATGTCTCTTTATCTTATCAAGTGCCGGTCTTCTGTTGCAATGAAATCCGTAGACTGCCACACACAACTTTGCAGTCCATCCTTCCTCCATTTTACCCAGCTAAGCTTGACTTCTTACATGAGAAGCTATGCAGTCCTTCACTGCTTGAACAGCATTGCTGGCCCAGGCAAATGTGCAGAGTCATGTGGCTTTGGGGAGTTAGAAATAATGTAGGATAACGTGTGATGGAGGGTTTCTCTTGTGGCTCAGAGCACGGAGAGTGGCTTTGAGAGACAAATTTGCATCAGATGGGACTGAGATGATGCGGAAGGAGGGGAGCTGCACTCTTTTTTTTTTTTTTATGCAGGCTATACAATGTGTATTGGGGTGGGGGAGGGATGAATGTTGATCTGCTTCCAAAGCGTGGCTTTGCCAAAAAAAGGTTTGATAACCACTGATTAAAAGGTAGTAAGTTGCTAGTAGTGCAGACTGGGACATTTTTCTACTTTGGCTCCAACAGTTGGGGCACTTGCTTCATTCTTTTTAGGGTTATACATTAACAGCAGCTTTAAAATTGTACCGTTAGTCCTAGGGAACAATTGATTATGCAGGTTTTGGAGCATTTTTGTAGCGTGCTATAACATTCCTTCTACCATGTCCAGAATGTCAGTTATGGCAACTTCCATTACACACTTGGTACAGGTTTTCATTAAACTTTGCACTGTCATCTGTGAGGATCTTATAGCGGTGCTGTACCTTTTTAAAAGAAAAAAAATCAGGAAGGCTTTTAATGCAGAAGAGACATTCTATGTCTTCTTACCCTTGTGCCTTCTTTAGAATGTGCAGCTCAGTGTAAGTTCTCGGCATACCTTTTCATCTGGATGAATTAACTCCCATGCACATGTGCTGAGGTTAGGGCATACCAGGCTGGCCAATCAAGAAGATGGAAGAAGACCCTGCAAAGATGTCCGTACCAATGAGAGAACTCATGGGCGTTGTTGGAGGAGAAGTGGGTATAGCTAGTTCTGCTTCAAGTTGGGAAAAAATTACTGTTACTCAATGGTGATATGATGTGCTGAAAGGCAGTTGAGTCCTATAGGCTACTGTCCAAAGCTGCCATGGAGACAGATAAACAGGATCGTACGAGAATCGTGCAGTGTATGGAAGGCGTGCGACCGTTTCTACTGTACGGTCGCACGTCTTCCGTCGAAACCAGCATGCTAGAAAACCCGCCGAGAATCGTACGATTCTCGGCGAGTTAGTGGCCTGCTGGTTCGACAACTGGCGAACGGGCCGGTGTGCGCACGCACACACTGCCGGTTTGCAGTCATCGTAAGCCCGCCCCTCATTACAGTCATCGTAAGCCTGCCCCTCAGGGGGGCGGGCTTGCGATGATCGAGAGTACGATCTGCCTTTCCAAGATGGGCAGATCGTACGTTTTTTTAAGTACTTTACAACCATCGCAAGACTAAGGTCTTGCGATGGTTGTAAAGTGTATGGCCACCTTTAGGGGCTGAAATGCAGAATATGGGACTGTACACCAGCTGGCTGGGATTGCTGGTGGGAGGAGAAGTGGCGGAGGGGTGTTGGTAAGGTCATGTTCTCATGCTTTGTGAGAAAGTGAACTTAACCTTTAAGACATTTAAAATGCCAATTTGCATTGATAATGTCTGTCTATCATTCTCAGAGGAAAATGATTTAGATGGGCTTGAAATGCAGTGGCTGCAATTGTTGACCTGCTTCTGAGAATACTAGTTGCCAGGCTGGGTTTGCCTTTAATAATTTCTCAGTTGTTGACAATAATGCTCAGCCACAGACGTTTAAAGTGACACTACACTCAGGAGATAAATCTTAAAACTGCATTCAAGTACCTTTTAACTATTAACAAAAATGTCTTATTTGTGTTTTATTTACAAAAATCTTATTTGTGTATCACTCAGCTGTGGAACCTCAAATCATCTCTGAATTGGTGCTGACACTGTCCTTCTGGAGGGTGACTTCTTTTGTTCCCAATGATCCCTGTGTGTGTGTGTTGTAAAGTAGCCACAGCTCCAAGCTTGCTCCCATGATGGACTACAATCTCAATACAAATTAGTAAACTAAACATGAGATTGTAGTCCATCGCGGGAGTGAGCTTGGAGTGGTGGCTACTTTACAACGCACACAGGGACCATGAGGAACAAAAGTAGCCACCCGCCAGAAGGAAGGACCGTGTCAGTGTGTGCTCTAATCATGTATTGCTACCACTCACCAGTATAGTCTACATCAGGGTTTGGGAACCTCCGGCCCTCCAGCTGTGGTGAAACTACAAATCCAATATTGCATATGTCTCTGGGAATCATGCCTGTGGCTGAAAGGTTCTTGTAATGCCTCCCAGGTTTTATAGTTTCACCACAGCTGGAGGACCGGAGGTTTCCCACCTCTGGTCTACATGGAGTAGAGAAATAAAGTGGCACACGCAACTCATTTATTTACTTGTATAAATGAATGTGGATTTTATGTACAAAGTGATTATAATGCAAGTTCCTATTTCTTATCAGCTCCATGTAATATCAAAGATCATGCTAGATAATATATTCAGCCTAACAAATGTTTGTCATGTTCACCAAGAAGATCCCACCTGACAGTGCTAGCTTCGCTTCTAATTAACTTCATATTTTGGTGGCTGTCCAACACCGAACATAAAATAATGCTGTCAGATGCATTTAAGATGCCGAAGTTTGAAATGTCACATTTGCTCCTTCGTGACAGTCAGCACAGCTTGTGAAAACCCGAAAAAAAGAATCTGTTCTCTTTTCTCTGCTTGTATGTGTTTCAGTGACATGATCTTCAAGACAGCCGTCTAATCAAGCCCAGCAGTGATTATGCAGAGGTGGTTTTGAGCTGTGACTGTTAAAGGGACATAGTTTCCTTTTCCTTTTAGCAACTTGTGCACTGTCACCCCAGTGAAGTAGTATGAGGATGGGTAGAATCCTTGGCCTGAGCTGTTCTGTCTTCCCCCTAAACTAAACTGACACTCGCACCGTGTGCAGGGAGTAAAGTCCTTTTCATCTACCCCTTAACTTTTACCTAAACAAGAATGCTTGTGTAACCCAGGTTCTCCTGTTTAGGTGAGAAGCAATGTCAACAGACAAGAAAAGGTTACATACATGAAAAATTAGACAAATCCCTGTATTCACAGATTTAGATTAGGTTCCCATAAGTATTAAGTATCTGCATACACTGATGAGCTCTTTCACACTCTTATACATCCCTTGATCACTATCCATAATTCTAAAATCTTAGGACTCTCAAATCTGAAAGCTTCCCCCCAATCTCCCCAAGCTATTGATCTAAATCTCATCTTCATTTATGCAAGATAAATTAACCCCGTCCTTTGAATAATAACAGTATGCTCTTTTGCCCATGAACACCATACAAAACTTCATCTGATCCGTTGTAAAACATTGAGTCATTCCGGGTGACTGTTTGGCATGGCTGTAATGTTAAATACAAATTTGCATCATGACATAGTGACATGGTGGTCTTGGAACAGAAGACCTAGACAGCAGTGCATGCTCATTTAAAAATTGGTTAGACGGTGGATGTATTTATTCAGCATTATGTAAAGTGACAGAATAATACAATTTTCTAAGATAAAGGAAAAATTAAGTTTACCAAAGGTGGAACCATACCATTTCATACCACTGTATTAGAGTCTGTTTTCAAGCCATTGTGCCTTTTGTGGACATCTTTGAGAGCACATCACCTATGGTTGGAACACCACTCTAAATTTGATAGATATTTATGTGAGCCCTCAGCCTCTAATGTACTTTTCTATCAAATTGCATAGAAAGGGGTTTGAAGATCTGGGAAAAAAAGGAAACAGGAGTAAAAGTAGAGTTGTCTCCAATAGAGAGCAGTAAGGTTTTATCTTCTGTTCTTTGGGAAATTGAAACATGTAATCTTGAGTCACCCTAGGCAACAATTCCACTTTTTCCCCATTTTTTTTCCTCTTCCCTTTTTAAATGTGTGGTCTTATCACTGTACTTATCATTTGAAAAAAAAAACTGATACAAATATGAAAAAGATATCCACATGTAGCATAATGGAAGGAAATGGCTCGTAACTTCATGATGTAGCGATTTGTGACACCATTCATGCTCCATAAGCAAGCTTCCACCCAAACTGACATTGCGCTGCTTAAGAAAACCTGATCCACGTATGCTGGACTATCCCATCACTCATCTATCCCAAAACCTTAGTATTGCTATCTTGTGTTTTTCACTTCAGCTTAAAACACCTTTTAGAAGTTTTATCCTATTTTATCTAATTTATGAATCAATACGAGGTAGACAGTAGATCAATTCCATTTTCCTTTTTTTTTTATAATATAAAACAGTGAAATGTGTTGAAAGAATGTAATAGTTGCTATTGATGAAGATAAAAACGATGAACTTTAGTTAACTTGGTCCTCCAGTTCCCTCTACTGGTGCAATCATGGGTTTTACAACTCAATGTGGCAAATGGTGTTTTAGAACCTTAAACAAATAATTTTTAAGGTTTACAAATATAGAGAGATATTTAAAAAAATGTGTAGTATGATGGTTCTTCAGCATTTTGAGTAAGAAAATTACTATTAGAAAGCATGCTCTTAGAATTTAAAAATGACTTATAGGACAGTTTTAAAATGACTCTATTTTGAAGCCCAGTTACCTGCCTAAGAAGCCTTTCCTGGTTACTGCCATTGTCTGTAAGCTCCAAGGATGCATGCTATTTGTAGAGCATTGACTTTACTTGCAGTGATGCTGAACAAGGTCTGTGCTACTTCAGAAACAAGTATGTAACCCAGAACTCTTAACAGTAACAGAATAAAGTCTTCTCAAATGACTGTATGCATGATGATGGTTTCTGTTTAAACTGTGTTCCTAACCTTCACAAAACCCATCAGATCCGCCTGACCACCGCTATAATCCATTTAAAATAATTTGCCTTTTTTTGCAGTAATATTTGGTGAAGATGTCGCTTTTGGAGGTGTTTTCCGATGTACTGTCGGCCTGAGAGATAAATATGGTAAGATGCATATTTTTTAAATTCAGTAATGGCTGTCGCGTGTGTATGTATGTGTGTATTATATATGCACACACTCACTTCACAAATTGGAATGTGTAATTAAATTAAAATGTAAATAAGCCTCACCCTCCCTTTTATAATCCATTCTCATAAAACAGTGCAAATTAAAGTGCAATTCCAATAAGACCTGTTTCCCTACCATCTGCTTCTGCCTCTGTTGCATAGTGCATGTAGCATTTTTTCTGACCGCACTGGACAGGAACACAGGCGTTAATGTGCCACACGTTCGGGTGCTGGAGATCGCACTGCGACCGGGGGGCGTGGCTGCGGTGCCATTTACTTAAATGCACCGCCACGCCTCTTCCCGCCCCAGTCCGTAATAGAAGTCACCAGCACTCGATGATGTGTGCACTTTTTATTAAATCGTCACATGCGTCAAACAGCCAACGTTTTGGGGCCACGCAGGGTCCCTTCTTCTGGGCGACACAGTGACAACAACAAGTATGCGACTTCAGCTTTAAATAGTGAACCACACAGAATACACCACAGAACCACCCCATGACGTCATACTGACGCAGGGAGCACTGGGGTGCTTTCAATGGTCAGTTTTTATTAATTTATGTAAAAAATCCCCAAAGAATCCAAAAGGGGAAAAAAATACATTTGTTTCTGTAGGTCCTTAAAATGTGTTAGCTGGAGTTGGGAATTGAATTTGTTAGTCTAGAAAGATCATCTAAATATGCTAGTCCATTTAACACTCCCTCTCCACAGGGTGACAATGCTGCTGTCCAAGTCAGGGTGGCTCCACTGTATAGAGGAGCAACAGAGCCAAAGACAGGAAGTTTGTTATTGGCTGGACCACCAGGTGGAAATAAAGAGGAAGGGAAAGACTAGAAAAAAAACCGAATGCAGCCGCCACATTTAAGGATTTGTAAGCTGCAATATATTACGTTGTTGCTTTTGGGTTTAATGATGTATTAATAAGTACATTTGCATTCAAAGCTGCCTTTTATATCTGTCTGGAGTTCAGCTGTGAATATGGAGCAAAATGTGACAGACAAAAAAGAGGACTTAAGCTATTGTATCTGTATAAGATTTCTAGGAAGTTCATTAGAATAATGTTCATGCTTCTACTTTGGTATGGAAAAGCCTTGTTGTTCATTAGGCCGGCCAGATGTTTCCTCTTCCCCCTCCATCCCAAGTATCCTTTTATCTTTTTTGACTACCACTTAATTTCTCTCCCTTTTTTTTTTATACCCTATGTTTTTATTGCTTCCATTTTTAAGCTATAAAATGTGTGCGGTCAGTGCACACGCACTTAATTTATATCAGGTTGACCAACTATGAAATGGTAGGGCTGCATAAGATGTTTGCCACATGTAACATGCAGGTACATTGTGTAGACTTCTAAGAACTAGAAATAAGTATTTGGTAAATCAGTGGCAAACATGTTATTTTTACACCCTTTCTACTGCACTGGGCTTTACTTTTAGATGCACTGGTTCTGAATGTTATGCCCAGTATAGGCTTCTTTGTAGGACTTGTGCAGTGATTTGGGCATTTATAAAGTCGGTCCCTGCAGCGATCTTCCATCCCGAACTTTCTGGTTCTGGGGGAGGATACTGAGGGCAGAGGGTGCCATAAGCTCCTTCTGCCATCAGTCAAACTGCTGGACACAGAGGAGGGGACGTGGCCTGCCGCAGGGCTGTCTGTGTCTATAGATGCACACAGCCACTGCGGGCATGGCTGTGAACGCACACACACGGGTCGCCCTCACAGCAGCCACTTAGCTGATGTAGGCACTTGTGCGAGGGGCATGGGGAAAAGCACTGCGGGGAACCACTAGAGAACAAGGATCTGAAGCATGTAAAAAAAAAAAATCTATTTAAATGCAGTCTCCTAGTAAAAAAAATAAAAAGACTAAGTTTTAATATCACTTTAAATCTGACTTAATGCCACACCCTATCAGCTGAATAGACCTAAAGTGACTCTGTTCCCTGGCTGCCATGCAGATGCTTTGGTGTCAATGTTTTTTTGGACTCTTTGGCCCCGTTCACACCTGACCGTTTTGTAGCGCGTCCTACGCTCGACGAACGCGCTACAAAACGGTCAAAAAAATAAATAGCATTGTAGTCAATGCCCTCGTTCCCACCTAGGCGTATTTCCGCCCGTCCCTAACGCCCTACAAAACGGCCCACGCCTGAAAAGGTCCCGGGACTACTTTGGGCCGTTTTGTAGGGCGTTTTCCATTGGGATACAGCCAAGTAGCCTTTGGAATCGCGCGACGGTCGTGCGACTTTTTTACCGCGAATCGCGGTAAAAAAAACGCGTGACGGTCGCGCGACAGACACGCATATTACAATACGCCTAGGTGTGAATGGGGCCTTAGACCTGAAACTTATATAGCGCTAAGGCATTTTGACATTTTTCTGACACTCCTATATGGCATGCCAAACTCCGTTCTAGAAAATGCTTGTTCTGGGTCTGTGACTGAAAAGTATTAAAGCCAGGGACAGGCAGGCAACTATTATTATTTTTTTTTAAGTGAGGGCCAGCAATGGTTGTTTGTTTGGTAATAATGTGAAAGTGCGTCAATAAACAGACATATTGATATCGCAGTTGGAGTGTCAGTGGCTTCTCTCTTTGATGCACACTTACCATGTCTGCATGGATCTGCCTCCGTGCTTGGTGTGTTCAGATTAGAAAAGCACAGAAGAGGGACTGGCAGGATCACTAGGTATTTGTGTGCAAAAAAAGAAATACAGCTATCACAGGTTACTTGTATGAAGTTTTTAGAATTAAATACACATATCTGTAATAAAGAATGTAGTGGTAACATACAATTTAAATATTTTCTCAGTGAAGATTTGCATGTGATAAACGATTATCCAAAGAACTGTCTGTTTCCATATAAAGTGCTTGCTTCTGCCAGGCCCTGTGCTGACTTTCCAGATACAAGTGTGCGTGTATGTTCTTGTATGGTCAGCAGATGGCGGGCTAACTTCACTTTTCTACCGTGACTGTTACTGGAAAGCTATCTTGCTGGAAAGTTGAACGCTTCCTGCTCCACTAATCAACTGACCATTTAGCATCTTAGTGCTTGCACTGTCATTTAAATAAAGTTGAGAATTGTTCTACTTGGTATGTTGTGGTATCTGCCTTTTGCTGTATCTTCTATCTTTGCCGTGTTTACTGTAAAACACTTGTAAAATGTATGAAATGTTATTTCCAGTGCCATATGTTAAGTTAATTTGTGGCATGTGAATGCTTTGTACTCATCATCCATTTGAATTGTTTTTATTTATTTTTTTCAATTATTTCTATGGAACTTCAAGTGTATTGATAGCAGTTGTAGAGTAAGGAAAAACTCATCAATTTGTTTCTGTCTTAAGTTCAATTTGGGAGAATTCCCTTTCATTCATGTTTTGGAGATGCAACAGGAAAAGAGGGGAAAATCTCCCCAAAGTTAAGGGGATTTCTATCTCATAGAGTTGTCACAAGGTCAGGTGACTCTGTTGGATGTTTTACCCTCGCCTCTTGCTCTGGTGACAATTAAAAAAAAAAATTGATTTCTCTTTTGTTAATTGAAAGGACATAGTGGAGATCTTGATCTCGTTACTGATGGGTTATATGCCACTTGCAGGAGTAGGTCGCTAAGCATAAAAAAAGAAGCTCGGCTCTGCGGGTGACTCCTGCTGGTGGCCACACCTCCAACCAAGGCAGTTTTTGGCCTAGTGTCAAGGATTAAGGACCCATCTCCCTGCTGGGGATCTCTGTTCCTGTTTTTTTTTATCCCTATTAGGGTGTTATTTTGTATATTTTTCTTCACTCTTCATTGATCTTCAATCAACAGCTGAGCTGGGTGATAGGCTGGATAATATAGATTCTTGTAGTTCCCCAGCTTAGCCATTGAGCGCACGCAGTTCTCTGCCTGAGAGAGCGAGATTGCCTGCGACAGCCCTGGAGAAATGTGGGGCAGACTATGAGATATCTCACGGGAGTCAGCACAGAGGATGCAGCGACTGTACTTTGAAACAGACTTGTTTCTGTGAGAGTGGTTAGCCTTCTTAACCTCCTTCATCCCTGGTGGCTTGGTGGGTTCAGGCTTGTGGAGTTGGGGCATGGTGTGGACCCTATTAGGGCAGCGGTGTTGGTGCAGTAGGCACTGAGAGGGGCTGTGCGACATGTGGGGGAGTTTATCCCTCTCCTGGGTCAGGCTCTATTTTTCCCACCTGTAAATCCTTGCAGACCCGTGCTTCACTCTCAGGTTCTGCTTTTGGGGGTCTCTGGAACCCTGAGTTCTATTCTATTGCTATGGCAAACCTTACTTTTGTTTCAGAAGTTTGTCTTTCGCTTGTGGAGCAAGTTTTTACTAAAGAGCAAAGTATAAAGGCGCTCCCCACCGTTGCTTTCTCCTGGGATTTCAGCATCTTCTGTGAAAATAGCGACGACAGATCGAACTCACTCTGCTAGGGATGATAAAACCTTTCACTAGAGAAAGTAGTGGTCTCTGCACTTATTAATTTGTTTTGCAAGACTTTTAAGAAGCACGGTAACCTAGTGGTCAGCACTTCTGCCGTGCAGCAGAGGCATTCCTGGTTCAAATCCTCGCCAGCCAGACATTACCTGCATGGCGTTTGTTTGTTTATATTGAAGTGTCTGCGGATGCCCCTTTGGAAGCTCCAGTTCCTTTTGGTACAAATAAGTCTAAACGTTTGACTAGGACTTTATTTACAAAGAATAAGACTGCCTTCTGGGGTTATTTTGTACTTCAATAAATGTGTAACACTTTACTGGATATTAGACCTCCTTATTTCCAGAATGTATTTTTTGGCTGTCATTCTATACCACATATTGTGGCTTAAATGCTAGTGAGCAGACCAGACTCTGAAAAAAGCCCTTGTGGATTTACCATTTTAAGGTGCAAAGCTGGATGATATATTCAAAAATATCACGTGCGATAAGAGTAAATTTTTACCACAGCTTTAGAAAGGTAAGAA